GTATAAATTAACGATTTAGTTTGTCACGTATTATTTTTTGGTCACAAATCAAAAATTTTATGTCACAAATTATTTTACGATCGCAATTTGAAAATATATAGGTCACAGTTTGTTTATCGGTCACAAATAAAAAAATTTTAAGCCACGATTTATTTATTGATCACAAATCACGAATACTATAAGTCACAACTTTTTATACAGTCACAAATTATAAATTATTGGTCACGAATTAAAAAATTATCGGTCACAAATTATAAATTATCGATCATAGATTAAAGTTTTTAGTCACAGTTATCTAATTAATTAGTCACAGATTAAATTTCATTCACAACTTATCAAATTTTTTGTTGCAACTTATTTTTCGGTCACAAATCGAAAATTTTATAGATCACAAAATATTTTTAGTCATGAATCCAAAAAAATTTTAAGTCACAGAATCTAGAATTTTTTAGGTCACAAATTATTTTCAGTGTAAAATTATTGGATTTATTGGTTATGATAAATTTTTCGATCACAACTTTATCAATTGTGAGTAACAATTGAAAGTCACAGTCACAATTTTCATGTCACATATCCAATTATTAGTCACAATCAACCAAACCGCCACGACCAACTGTGACTTCATATATCCAATTACTTTGACACAATCAACCAAACCAAACCAACCACCACCCAAAATGGTCACAGACCCTACCACCCGCAGTCACCACACCACAGCCACGACCACCATAGCCATCACCACCACCTCACCGCTAGCCTTGCAAATCTAGAACAAAATAGAAAACCTTTGTCACCACCACCATAACCTCTCATTATAGTTGTTGCTGCAGATCGCGGCCAGATCCCGTCGTTCACTGCCAAATCGCTGCAGCTACAGGTTGCGGCCAGATCTCGTCGTTCACAGCTAGATCGCTACCAAATTTGACGCCAAAAACACTTGCCACCAGTTCGTCAACGTGCAACGGAGCAGCTCCTCCATTGGCGGATCTGCTTCGCAAATGCACTTATTTCATTGCGCCACCACATCTACTACTACAAAACCGCTACCACACAACACTATCACCACCACCACCACAAAAAAACCAAAAAAAAAAAAAACCCAAATCTCTGGTGCATCATCGGCGTAGCAAAGGTAGATCTATTCGCTGTGATTCGTGCTTCTTTTGGCCGGCGATTTGCACTCATTCTAGGGTGAAATGGATTGAGGGGTGAGTGATAGGACCGGGCGACAATGGTTGACTGGTGGTGAGCCTCACAACCACCATCGGTTCTCCATCGTTGGTCCAGGCAGTGTTCAGAGAGAGAGAGAGAGAGAATTGGGGGTGGGGGAAATGAAAATGGAAGAATAATTAGGGTATGAAATTATTATTTATTAGATTAATTTTTAAATATATTAATTAATTAAAAAAAAAACACTATTTTTAAAGAGTGGCCGCATGCTCCATTCATTAATTAAGTGACCATTACTCGCATTTGGAGATTCTCAATTCCCAAGGTTGCTTAGTCGAAACGAGCAACTAAATCTATCAATAACTCATCATTCTCCTAAGTTGGTTGCATTATGCCAATCGCCGTCTTCTTCGTCCACTTGCTCCTTACAAAATATTAGCAAAACGTTTGGAGAAATCGTTGGAGGCCCAAATGGATTTTGGTAGGAGGGTAGCCACCCTAAGTCTCTTGCCTCATGTTTAAGGGTTGGTAAAGATACCCTATAGATGATAGTGTCCGATATAACCACAACCTTATCAAATCAACAAAGGCCACGAGGTGATCGATTTGGATCAAATGACTCATCTTAGGTTGTTTATAACCAATTGGCAAATGAAGAGCCCTCACTTCAGAAGCGAAAAATATCACTATCTAATCTCTCTTAGTTCACAATCCAGGAGCTGCATCTTGTCAGTATCAGTGATCTAGGGATGAATTTTTAGGATTGGACAAAAGAAAATAAAAAATAAAAAAGTCGGACTAACATATATAAAAAAAATTACATATAAAAAATTCTTTTTACTAATAAAAAAAAGTTTACCCATACAAATGGAAATGGGATAGGAGGGGACTGAGCTAAAGCCCAGTCCAGTCCCCCATAGATTGGCCATTGAGTGATACAATCTGCTGAAATTTTGAAGTAGAAGTGGAACTTATCTTAGCACATGTTTGAGCCTCATTTTTTTGTTAAAAATACATTTTGGAATAATAGATTAATAGAAAATGTGTAGTTAAAAAATAAAAATAAAAATTGGATTTGTATTCATGTTCGTACATTTCAATGTTATTGTGCAAAATGTCTTTATCTTACACTTTTTGGCATTTTCACCTTTAATTACATCTTTGATTGCGTAAAACATCCTTCCATCCATCCAAATTTGTCGTTAAGTGAACGTGAATCTCTCTCTCTCTCTCTCTCTCTTCTTTTCCCCCAAAAAGGAAAGGTATTTTTGTCTTATAACAACTTTTTCCCATTTTTCTCACCTTAAACAAGTTCTTCCTTAACTAACTAGCAGTAACAGTAAACTAATGGAATAAATATGAATAAGTTATAAATTATTCCACTAAATATATAAAAAATGACATAACATTGTATTTCAGCACGAGAAGTACAATGGCTACTATAATGGTGAAACCCATCGAATTTGAATGGTAATGAATATTTTGAATATGCGGTCGATGAACAAGAGATATTAATTCCCGATTAGCAGGGTGTAACTAACGGTGAAAATAAGATGAAGAACAATGACAACTATATTTTATTAAATTATCCATAAAAAATGCCAATGGTGAATTACCCATGAAATTTCAATGATGAAGATAAACTTGTGCTGTTCATCCTCATTTTAGCCTGAAATTAATATTATGTTAAACAACCGTATCATAAAAAATTATACATAATGATGTCCATATTCACATGGGTGGGGCCCACATGAATATAAATATGCAAGTGGGCCCCACCCATGTGAGTTGGGGGACACCATTATGTACAATTTTTTTATGTACAACAAGAATTGTCCTCTATTAATATGTTTGGCGTGTAACATCCCTACCTTTGAAATTGTTTGGCATATAACATCCCTCTCTACCTTTTAATGTAATTGAAAAATACATGCCCACCACAGAACGTGTTTCAACACCACAGAACATGCACCAATTTTAACTCCATCTTCAAGCATTTCCCATTCTAACATACATTTCTCAGTACACAAGTGCTTGCCGCTATCACCAATTTTTGGATGTCTCTCTCCATAAACTTTTCCAGTGCCACCCGAAGTCATATTCTGCAAAAGTGACACATTATTTTCGATAAATTTTGTTTCTCCAATTGCAAGTTCTATAGCATAATCAAGCAAAATCCCTCTTCTAACATTTTCGTTTTGGAAGATGATAAAACCTGTGCAACATCAACAACCACTATTCTTGAGAAAATAGAAACCAATACTCTCACCCCTCACAAACATGCAATCACTCAAAAGAAGAAATTAGGTAATGAAAAACAAAAATGCCCAACTCAAAAATATCAACTTACCTTCACTTCACCGTGTGCTTTAATTGGCGGCGAGGAGAGGAGTGGGGAGAAGAAAACTACTCATGAAAAAAAAAATCTATGCATTGGGTCACATTTGGTGCAAGTGAAAATGGGGAAAATTGTTACAAGACAGAAATACCCTTTCACTTTGGGAAAAAAAAAAAAAAAAAGGAATTCCTGTTCATTTAACGGTAGATTTGGATAGAAATGGATGGAATGACGTTTTGCACAATCAAATGTGTAATTAAAGGTAAAAATGTCAAAACAAAAAGAAAAAGAAAAAGAAAAAGAAAAGAAAGTAGAGACGTTTTGTACAATAAAAGTGGAAGATAAGGACGTCCCGTGCTATTTAACCTATTATTTTATTGAAAAATGTTTGATTATAAAGAAGACAATGAATAATTTATTTTAAAAATAATGGAAATCGAATAAGGGCATAACAATGAAAAATTATATGTGATCTATTTTTATTAAGTTCTAAATAAATCATGGAAATATTTTTATTAATATAAGTGAGTTGCAGCTTTGCCTAATAAAGAAGTATAGTTGGCGATTAAAATTTACGCGTAGCCGTCTTGAAAATAGCAAGGAAATTTCTGTTTAATTATTAAGTCACTACTTTCCACAAATTCCCTTACCGTGTGAGTAACAAGAAATTTCATACTAATTGCATGGAATATATGGAGTTCGAAAAAAGTCTCACGAAATTATGTGCATAGGTTGTAGTATAGGATGTTATTTAATAATAGTATAGTAATTCAAATTATCATTTCTAGTTTTGCAAAACTATTTCGGGTCGATCCCTATTTGACACGACTCTGAACATAGGAAAAAAGTGCACAAACGAGTTACGGAGCAAATTAGTAAAAATGTTGTACATTTGAGGCCTAATTAATGTTATTTATTTTTTAAGATTTGATTTGAGTAAGGCTAAAGTCCTTTGTACAGAGTATCGTGTCACAAAATTTATCCAGAAAAGTCATATGAATGAGTCCCACGTGTTGATAAAAAAAGGCTCAAAAAATCACCCACCCTACGAGAATTCTTTGTGAATGTGAATTGGTTTCCTGTACACACAGCTTGGTCCTTCGAGTAATGGTAAGGAAGTAACGAATGAAAAGCGGAGGAAATTTTACACGACAGAGTGGAAAGAAACAACAATAAATAAAAAGGAAAATGATAACTTATCAAATGCTTGTAATTGAAGAGAAGTCGTAGAAGAGAAAAAGTAAATTGAAGAATATAGAGAGATTTTCTCAATTGAAATAAAGAGAAAATTTATTGCAAAAACATAGACGAGTTTATTAAATTATGTAAGTTTTTTTTCGTCGTTTCTTTTTTTATTTTTTTTATTATCATCTTTGGAAATTGAATCGTTTCAACTATTTATTTATATCTTTAATTCATTTATACAAAATTAAAAAGAAAAAGGAAAAAGGTAGACGTGTGAGAATAGAGGTCCTCAATTTATATGCAGTGTTTGCCCTCTTCGTATGCCCACAAGTTCAGCTAGCAGGAAAATATGGGAAACACTTTGCAGACACTCCCCCACAGTACAAACCAAACCCAGCAATTCCAAGATCAACAAGAAGATCAAAATCAAGAAATCCCAGAAGATGATAATCAAGTCTTCACATGCGAAATCTGCATCGAGCCGATGATATTACCCGATAGAAAATTCAAGAACAAGAATAAATGCAGCCACCCTTTTTGTACCGATTGCATTATCAAGTACATCCAAGTGAAGCTCGGGGATGATAACGTGGGAAACATCAAATGCCCGGCTTTGAATTGCAATCACTTCTTAGACCCAATTTCGTGTCGTTCGGTAATTGGTTTATCGCTTTTTGTTAGGTGGTGCGATGTGCTTTGCGAATCTGTGATTCTGGGACTGGATAGGAGTTATTGTCCCTACCCGAATTGTAATGCTCTGATCGTGAACGAGTGTGGTGGGAATTTGAAGAAATCCAAATGTCCCAATTGTAAGAATTGGTTTTGCTTTCAGTGTAAAAGGGTTTGGCATGCTGGGTTTGGGTGTGAAGAAAGTGGGGAATTGAGGGACAGGAACGATGTTGCATTTGGGAGACTTGTGGAGCAGAAGAAGTGGGTAAGGTGCCCCCGGTGCCGACATTTTGTCGAACTCACTGAGGGCTGCCGAATTATCAAATGCAGGTAAAATTTTAATTCCATTTGTGTGTTTCTTAATTGGCTTTGTATATATGCGTTTTATGTGTTTGTGAAAATTTCTTAATGAATATTTGGGTAAAGAGTGGAGTATTCTTCTTTTCTTATATTAAGTTGGGGAAAGTGAATTTGGGTTTTGGATCATGATAATTTTAGCTGTGGTAAGTGAATTTTATAGTTTAATTGTGGCGAGAATGTATTAGAAGTCGAAAACTGTTTGGGAATTTTGGATTATTCGAAGGGACATGAATGGAACAAGTGGCTCTACATATTTTGGATCAAAAGACAGATAAATAAGTGTCTGTGGTTGATTAATATGGCTGCTTATTGCTTCTTTTTAGTGTGTTTATTGGAAAATAAAACTACTATAAAAACTAAGGCTCATTCATTGTCGATAAATGTGTGGTTGAAAAGATTTGAAAGAAAGAAATCAACCCGTATACATGAAGTTCATGCGATGATTCTTCTAAAAGCTTCTCATTCTTGTGGATCTTGAACCATAAGTTGCCTCATTTGGCTGACTAGTCATTTGTAAGTGCTACGCCCTTCTTTCAATAGTTAGGGCCTGTTTGGTAAGGCTTTTGAAATGTTAGAAGCTGCTTCTAAGACTAAGAAGTTATTTTTGAACCTATTTGGATAATTTTCTGGTAGCTTTGTCTTGCTAAAAGAGTTTTTGGAAAGCTGAAAAAGGCAGATTCCTTGCTAAATGGACCTTTAGTCGTATTTTTTCAGCAAATGGATTTTGCGAGTTCGATCCCATAACTCAGCCTATAGTTGAATCAGTTCCAAGTATCCGTAAAGGAGTATCATTGATTGTTGAAATTTGAAATTTTTACATTATCTTGAAAGAGAATGTATTAAAGATGAATGAGACAGACAATAAACCTCTCTGTATCAAAATATCATTCTTATGTTTGGCTGCTAGCTTGATTGGTTTTATTTTTTTAACCCATTAGAGAACGAATCACTAGTATTTAGGTTCTCTTAGATTCTTCATCTACTAACAGCTAAACGTGCAAAGACATGCATTCACTCACAGACACATTCTTAATTATTTTTCTTTACCTTCTACTTGTCGTTGTTCTTTCCATGATTATTAGTCCTATCATTTGTCAATTGATTACTTTAATCTCAATACTGGTGACTTTGAGATGACTTAATAGGGACACTAAATAGATATAAATCCGAGAATGTATTTTACTTGATCACGAAACATACAGAATATTGAAGAGAATAGTTATATTCCCGCGGGGTGGTTTGATTTTGAATGCAGGTGCAGCATTAATTTCTGCTACAAGTGTGGGAAACAAGTTCAACAACACTGGTGTCGCTGTGACGCGACTTCTATGTGCTGCGTGTGGTGCTTCCGAATATTCATAGTCCTTATTTTTTTGATATTCGGGCTCTTGTTCTTGATCTGGGATGCTAACAAAACGAACAGACCGTAATTTGCAGTATATTATACGCATACGATACTGTGGAAATATGGAAAGATTCAGGTTCTTTTGTATAGAGTGGTGACAGAATGTATATAACATGGTGAAGAAATTCGTATCTTAAGCACGACTGCTCTTTCTTTTTCTTTTAGTAATTATTGTTGCTGAATGTTTTCCAGTTCTGCCCTTTTATTTAGCAGCATTCTAAACGAGGTTTCCATTTGCCTGACTTGCGTATATTATGCTGCTGATTTGCAGAAGAGAAAAAACAAAGTGTGTGTGTGTAGCTGACTGTTGGCTTTAATGAACAACGTTATTAATGTTTATTTCTGGTATTTACTTTAGTTTTTGCTGCGTTTATTTCAATGAGATGAAAGATATTTTTCCTTTTTCAATATTGAGCCATTTGAACCGTTCATTTATTTTCAACCATTTATCGTCGTCTTTAATGATCAACGTTATTTTATGTTTATTATCCGGTATTTACTTCAGTTTTTTGCTGCGTTTATTTCCATGAGATGGAAGATTATTACTGAAAGCAAACAAACATTTGGGAATATGAAATGAAACTATACAGAATAATTATAAAAAAAATTAAAAGAGAATTTCACTTTTTCATCTATGAAAGCCAAACATCATTTTATAAAGAATAAAAAAATTAGCAATCCTTTTAAAATTTACCTTTTAGGATAAGAAATAAATAAAAAATCACTGAAATATTCAACAAATATTCGTGCGACTGAATTGTTGGTTAGCCTTTGCACGTGCCACCCTAGTAATGCTGGCTAAATTTAATGCTTCATCCCCGAGCCCTTGTTTAAGTCTCATTCTTTCAAAAATTTATTTTTTCAAAATTCATTTTCAACAACACATTTTTCAATAACACGCAAATTTAAAAAAAAATTCTTTATTTTTAACCACACATTCTCCATCAATCACTATTTAAAAATGCATTCTTTCACTTAAAATGGGGCTCAATCAAGAATTTATCGAGAATTAAATCTTACAAAAATTCAACCGATTTATTTTGATATTTATCGAGAATTAATATTACAAATTTTAATATTCATACACTTAAGGTGACAAGAGTCTAAATAATTCTATCTATGGTTTTACCAAATAGCATGTTTGATGTCTCCCTATTGCTTATAATTTGAGTTTATAGACAAGCATATCATTAAGAACTCCAATTCTACTATATGTGCAAAATAAGATCAATACTTCAATACATTGTAGCATTCGAAGTTGTTTTGCTTACGGTTTTGCCAATCGGACTCCTCTTGTAAGTTGTATCAAGTCAAATTCATTTAATTGATTTTAAATTTATTGCTACAATTTTTTTAATAACCTATGCAAATATCATGTATAACTAATAAATATAGTTGATAAGTAAAATTTACACGTTGTCCTCTTGAATATCTCCCCCAATTTCCCTTTACCTCTTTTTATTGCAAGGAAGTTTCTATTCATTCAACCATTACTTTCCACAACTTTCCTTGTGATGAATCCATGTGAGTACAAGAAATATCATACAAATTGCAAGATAGATATGGAGTCCCGAAAAGTCCCACGAAATTTACGTGCATAGGATGTGCTAATGATTAACCAAAAATTATCCTCTCGAATTTGAGAAATAATTTTGGGTCGACCCCTAATAGACATCGAACGGAGGAAAAAGGTGCGCGGCTAAGTTAGAGAGTAGAACAATACGAGTGTGTGTTATATATTTCAGGCTGATTTAATTTGTTCAAGGTATGCTTTGAGAAATGATACAGAGGGACTACAAAGGAAAAAAAGAGAGGAAAATTTACGTGAAGAAGAAAGGGAGAAACTAATGCAAAATAAAAAGTAAAACAACAACTCGCAAAAGGCATGTGATTGAAATCTTGTTACAAAATGGAATGCACTTTGGCGTGATAAACTCGTCATACAATAGAAAAAAAGATCGCGGACTAAGGAGAAAGTAGATACGTGAATACAATAAAAAAGATTTGCCAAATTTATTGAACCTTGCTAGGTTGAGATAGCGATAAGACTTAAAATTTAGTTAGATAATAATTATTTTTTTTATTATTATTGGCTTATTCTACTGGTATAGACGAGTTTATTGAATCATATAAACGTGTGAGGGGGAGAACTCAGTTATGAATATTGACCTCTTCGAATGCTTACCAATTCAGCTCACATAAAAATGGGAAACGCTCTCCAGACACTCCCTCACTGTACAAATCGAACCCAACAATTTCAAGATCAGCGAGAAGATCAAAATCAAGAAATCCCAGAAGACGAAAATCAAGCATTCACTTGTGAAATATGCATCGAGCCGACAATATTACCGGACAGAAAATTCAAGAACAGGGACAAATGCAGCCACCCTTTTTGTACTGATTGCTTGATCAAGTACATCCAAGTGAAGGTCGAGGATGAAAACGTCAGGAACATCAAATGCCCGGCTTTGAACTGCAATCAGTTCTTGGAGCCAGTTTCGTGTCCGTGGGTGATGAGTCCAGCGTTTTTTGTGCGGTGGTGCGATGTGCTTTGTGAAACGACTATTCTGGGAGTGGAGAGGTGTTATTGTCTGTACAGGGATTGTAATTCTTTGATCTTGTTGTTTTTCGAGTTTGAAGTTACTCTTTCGAAACCAAGCCGACAGAATCACCTAAATGTAAGAAATGATCAACAGGATCCAAAATGTAATTCAAGCCCACCGACTTCATGATTTCCTTAAAACGAATTTGCTACCTTCAATGGTGCTAAAGGCGTCTAACAATCGTTTTTCAGGATAGAACGAATTTTCATTTCCTACGAAAATAGCACTGCAATCTGTAGGAGTTCCAACGAACTCAATGAAGTATGTTTTACTTCGAGACAATATCAAAACGAAAGAGAGGGGAATGAGATTCAAAGCACAGAAAGTTTGCAATGAAAATTGTGTAAATTTTCTGGTAGAGAGGCAGGCTATTTATAGACTTGTTCGTAGTCATTCAAATAGTCGTCACCTTTCAGACAAACCTCAAAAATCTGGAACAGACATATTGTTCTAAAAGTCGCATCTGTTAAGTTGGTTAACAGTCAGCTAACAGTCGACTGTTTGGTTGGTTAACAGACGACTGTTAAACAATCCATCCAGACCGAAAAATCACCCGGAATAAGCCAAAAATTTAAATTTCATAATGTACCCAAGAATTTGATTATTTACAATTTGGCCCAAAAAATCACCCGGAATAAGCCAAAATTTTAAATTTCATTATGTACCCAAAAATTTGATTATTTACAATTTGGCCCAAAATTTTAAATAAATTTTGTGCCGTGCCGAGTCAGCCGATCAGACGGGCGGCGGCGCGCGCATGTGAGTTTATGATCGAACCCAATAGGATATAGGTCTTCCCCCTTCCAAAGACTATTGGTACCCCTTAGAGCCCAAACCCAATTCCAAATTTCCACCTTATAAATCACACCAAAGTTTCCTAACTTTTCTATGTGGGATAAGTGTTTGGAAAATCAAATTCTTCCATAATACTTAGTTTTATGTGGGTTACTTTAACACTTAATATTTCATTCAATTTTAAATGATTTTCGACAAATAAATATATCACGTTAATCATCTCGTGGAGTAGAACGTGAATATGTTAGGTCTCGTATTAATTAAAAGGTGGGTTCTACTGAAATTTGGGCTCAAAGTTGACCCATTTCATAACCATTTTTCCAACAATCCCCCACATGAATGAAATATGTTGGCCTTTTTCTAAACGATAACATCTGATATTTTTTCAAAGTAAAAATTGAAGAAGACTGCATCAGAATAAGTAGTCAATGACTTTAAACTTTCCCTAGTAAAATCTATCGAATTTCCTTAGTCAATCAGTAGCAAGTTGCTTTGAACAGTCAGCCGTTTATGGAAACCTAAACAATAGAAGTCACACAGTTTTCTTCGAACACAGTTGGTTCTCACGTTTGCGTCCATTTTGGCCTTGGACACCTCCTGGTTCATGAGTAGTTTTTAGAGAATTCATCATCACCTAATTCTCTTAGAAGCGGCCCCTTCTCACTCACATAGGTGATTTCCATAAAAAGTATTTTGCTATACTCCACTTGAACGAATCAAGATATAGAAATCATTAAAAGCGTATCTTAATCTATTTCGCAGCAGTTAGGCACTGGCTCATCATAGAAATGGGTAGGAGTAGAATCTTCCCAATGCATACTAAGTTTTTCACAGTTCGGTTGTCCCATTGAACCTAGATCTTAGGATCTCCAGTCAACTAGGTTGGGTTGCCACCATGGAAACTTTTGATTATTTTATTAGTTTTAATCCCATCCCCTTCGATGAACTTTCGACTTACTCTCTTGTTAAACTTTTAGTTAGCGAATCCGCAATATTCTCTTTTGATTTCACATACTCTATAGAGATAATGCCAGTAGAGAGCAATTGTCTAACAGTATTGTGCCTAGGACGTATATGTGGAGATTTACCGTTACACATTGCATTTTGTGCCTTACCAATTGTTGATTGACTATCGCAATGGATACATATAGCAGGCACATGTTTTGTCCAACATGGAATATCTTCTAGAAAGTTTCGTAGCCATTCGGCTTCTTCTCCGGCTTTGTCTAATGCAATGAATTCAGATTCCATTGTTGATCTAGCTATACATGTCTGTTTTGAAAATTTCCATGATATTGCAGCACTTCCAAGTGTAAAGATATATCCACTTGTTGATTTGGAGTCTTTAGTATCTGATATCCAATTTGCATCACGGTATCCTTCAAGTATTGCTGGATATCTCGAATAGTGCAATCCAAAATTCTGGATATGTTTTAAATACCCTAAAATTCTAACAATAGCCTTCGAATGATCAGTACTTGGATTACTTGTATATCGACTTAGCCTACTAATTGAATAGGCAATATCAGGTCGAGAGCAATTCATGATATACATTAAACTGTCAATAATACGAGAGTATTCCAATTGAGACTTACTATCACCAGTATTGGAAACAAGATGCATATTAACATCCATAGGTGTTTTCATAGGAATAATATCATATTTCTTGAATTTATCTAGAATCTTCTCAATGTAGTGTGATTGAGACAATATGAGACCATCAGATGTTCTAGAAATTTTAATTCCTAATATAACATCGGTCACACATAAATCCTTCATTTCAAATTTACTTGTTAGCATCTTTTTTGTAGTTTAAATTTTGGTATCATTGTTACCCATAATTAACATGTCACCTACATATAAACATACCATGACATATTCATTTGGAGTGTTCTTGACATAAACACATTTGTCACACTCGTTAATTTTGAAATCATTTGACATCATAAC